AATGCACAACACATAATATGAGATTATACTCGATCCTTTACTTATTCTCTTTGATCATTCAACCAATTAGCCATGGTGGTACCAAGCTCATTATTCCTTAATAAGTCATAATCCACGTCTTAGAAAATAGGAGAAATCGATGGGAAATGGTTTCGGTGAAGAAATGGTATAAAATTGGTTGATAGAAAGTGAACAGTCGTCCCTAATTTGGGAATAACTATTTCTGTATTTAGAATTTGGGAGTGAGACTGCCACCATTGGAAACTAGACTTCCGGGGCTTAATTTTAGGCTCAAGAATCACTCAAAATGGAGTCCCGAGGAAAAAGATATGCTTATTCAAAGTTGGTTGGACAGAGCTGTCTCCCGCACGTGCGGGAAACAGAGCCGCACGTGCAGCCCTGGACAGTTTGCAGTCCGAAAATGGCTGAAAAATTGGGACTTCTCGTTTCCAAAATCAAACCTCAATTCCATGTAAATTAAAGCCCAAAACCCTTTAATACATGACAAATTTCACATTATTAATCTCCATCAAACATCATAACCACAAAATATTACTTAATTCCCAAGCACAAGTGCACTGGTTTTCAGTGGTGAGAAGACCAAAACACTTAAGCAAATAAAGCCTTACCAAAGAGGCAACAAAAAGGCCAAATAAGGCCTAAGAGTGTGAGTTTGAACTCAAACCACAAAACACCCTTAATGAAAGTTCTTAAGCATGAAAATATAAGCTTTTTTTTATGTTATGCACAAAGCCTAAATCAGCAAGCAAGATAGGTAAAAAACTAGTGCAAGTTTGGGAAAACTAAAGCAAAGTGATTACCCTTAAAGAACACCTCAAGAACAGCCAATGCAGCCCTCTTCTTTTGATCAAAATTAGTCCAAAAGCTCAAGAATCAACCCTCAAAGCCTCTCAATCTCGGAGCAAGGTGTAATGGTGTGTGTATTAGTACAAAAGTAAGGTAAAAATGCACTTTTGGGCTACCAAACACACACTAAGGGAGGAGAGAGAGGGAAATATAGAGAGAGATGATATATCTAGTAGATATATGTATATAAGCTCTGGTTCTTATGTTTAAAACTCCCAACCTTTAACAATGGAGGAGGAGGACTCTATATATAGACTAAGCAAATGGTTCTTGGCTTCTCCAAGAAGCCAAGTGAAAGGGGCAAAGGGTGCAAAGGAGTCTAAGCTTCTAGAGGAAGCTACGACAGCTGGCCAAGCTTCCCCAAGAAGCTTGGCCAAAGGGTTCAAGCTTCTAGAAGGAAATGGGGTTCAAAGGCTCACACCAACCAAAAACTGCACGGGGAGGACTGATGGTGCATTCCAGCTGGCACAACTGGCATGCACCATGCCTCAAGGGTGCAAAGGAGTCACACCGGCCAGCAAAATATGTCACCGGCAAAATAAAATGCCAGTCGGCAGAATACAGTGCCGACCGGCCATTGATTTTAAGAAATCATGGCTGGTGGAACCCCTAAACAGCCAGTGATGCTAGGGGAAGGCCGGTGGAATGTGGGGATGGCCAACAAGCCATTCCCCGCCCTTCAAGGCAAAAACACAAGTGTTTGGTGTCAAAACCAAACACAGAACAGTCAGGTCGAGAGATCCTGAGGCGAGGCACGTAGCCATGACTTCCGGGAACTCAAGACGAACTCATGGCCGGCGGCACTCACAAACAGCCGGTGATGCTAGGGGAAGGCCGGTGGAATGTAGGGATGGCCAACAAGCCATTCCCCGCCCTTCAAGGCAAAAACACAAGTGTTTGGTGCCAAAGCCAAAAACGGAACAGTCAGGTTGAGAGATCCTGAGGCGAGGCACGCAGCCAAGACTTCCGGGAACTCAAGATAAACACAAACATGGATAATCACTGAGTGTTCAAACGGTGACGTCCAAGTCTTGAGGACGGTCAAAAATGGGGTGTCTACAACAGGCACCAGACCGTGGTTAGAAGCGTCGGGGTAAGCTCCAGTTTTGTCAAGCCAACCACTGTGCCTCACTACGAGGTTCCGAGCCTGTCAAGCTATGGCTTAGGGGTGCTTTAATCTCCCCCGTTTGTCCCTGTAACTGTTTTGTAAACTGTATAGACTGTTACTGTACTGTTTGATAGGGATTAGGTCCCTGAACTGAATTATTGTTAATATGTACATACTGTTCTGTACTGTTCATGTATATGTGTATGAAAAGTCTTTTTGGCATACAGACTGTCACAGCTCATTGGACATTGTTTATTTACTGTTTTGGCTTCCGCCATGCCTCTGTACTTTGTTTTACTACATTACTGTTAAGCAGGCCTTCGGTAATCTTGGATTACTGGCCGGTTACGGTGCTAAACCTATAGGGACGGGTTTGGGTTGTGACAGAGTGGTATCAGAGCGATACTTATCACGAGTTATACCGCACACACGTGTCCAAATGAGCTATAGAATGTCCTAGAAAAGCGATTGGGGCATTACATGAGCATGAATAGTGTGTGTGGCTATGACATGACTGAATAGTGCTAATGTGATAAACTGTTTAAGTATGCAACTGCTTATGTTTAAAATTGCTTTAACTGCTTATAGCTAAATGGATAATATAAGAACTGCAAATGAATCTAAATCCTCATCCTCTGAGGCAATAATGGCAAGACTGGAAAGAATGATGGAACTAATAACTGAAAGACTAGATCAACAACAGAATCAACAGCCCCCACCTCCTCCT